ATATATATATATATATATATATATATATATATATTTAAATACATTTATAAAATTTGGGACGTTATAAGATGCTATAATATTAAAAACTCAATCATAATATATTGTTTGTATTTAGACAAATCAATTTTAGATACATATTTTTTCACATATTTTGAGAGATATATATTCTAAGAGAGAAATAAATAAAAAATGTTATGTGATAAAAATATTACATGTAATATATAATATAACTTTAGAATGTAACAAATATTAATGATACAATTGAATTTTATTATGATTTTTGGATGTACATGTGAATAAGTCTTTATGAAAGAAAAATAATATTATAAAAATTGAATAATTAACTTATATTTCTCTATATTTTTAAAAGCAACTTTCCTTTTATTCCTCTAAAATTTGAAGAAGTAACTTATTTTTAATTTATGAAAAAAGTTTTACTTACTTTTTATATGTTTTTACAATGATCTATCTACAAGTTCACACAAATAAGGTCTATATCCTCCTAGATATTCTCTTAAAAAAACTTCTTACTACTTTATAAATTAAAATTATTAAAGGAATATATATTTTAAAATTACAAATTTTTAAAATTTTCTTTATTTAATATTTTGATGATTATTTTTAAAAGATAAAAATTAGAATTATTTTAAATTTTTTATTTCACAAAAAATTTGTTTTTTTTTATTTTAGTTAAATGTAGAAGTCATTTTTTCATACACTTAGCCTATACACACACACACACATATATATATATGTATATATATATATATATACATATATATATATGTGTGTGTGTGTGTGTGTATATATATACCTTAATAAGTAAACGGTATTACAAAATTCAAAGCATTACAACTCTCTCATCCTTTAGGGAATTTCGTCTCCGAAATTCAAACAAACGAACATGCAATTTACACAAACAATTCTGGGTATAATTCTCTCATCCTACTCTTTGTTTCCCATGTGATATCTCCTTCATCGCTCGAGCTCCATATCACCTTCACTAATGAGATCTCTTTGCCCTTCAGCTGTTTAATACAGTGATCCGTTATCCTCACCGGATACACATCATAAGATAAGTCTTTTCTTACTTGAACTGGGTCAAGATAAATCACATGGGAAGGATTTGGCACATATTTCCTGGGTTGTGACACATGGAACACCGGATGTAGATTCGAGAGATTCGGAGGCAATGCAATCCGATATGCTGCAGAGCCAATTCTATCCAGCACTTCGAATAGCCCAATGAACTTAGGAGATAGCTTCTGAGATTTCATAGCCCTCCCAACTCCGGTTATAGGTGAGACATTCAGAAACACATGGTCACCCACCTAGAATTCCAAAGGCTTCATCCTTTTATCATAGTAGCTCTTCTGCCTATCCTATGCTGCCTCCATCTTCTCTTTGATCATCTTGATGTGTTCATTTTGCCTGTGGATCATATCCGATGCACACAGAGTCACCTCTCCATCCTCATACCAACACAGAGGAGTCCTACACCTCCACCCATATAAGGCCTCGAATGGTGTCATCCCAATACTAGCATGATAGTTGTTATTGTAAGTGAACTCCACTAATGGCAGGCATTCTTCCCAAGTTCCCTATTATTCGAGTACACAAGCTCTCAACAAGTCCTCCAGGGACTGAATAGTCCTCTCCGTTTGACCGTCGGTCTGTGGGTGATACGCCGAACTAAGCTTCAACTTAGTGTCCAATGCCCTCTGCAGGCTTTCCCAAAACTTCGAGGTGAACCTCGGGTCTCTATCGGATACCACACTCATCGGCATTCCATGCAACTTGACTATCTCCCGTACATACAAGTCTGCCAACCTCTCTAACTTATCCTTCATGTTAATCGGGAGAAAGTGTGCAGCCTTAGTCAACTGATCCACTATCACCCAAATGGCATCGTGATTGTTCCTCGTCTTCGGCAACCCGAACACAAAATCCATAGAAATGTTATCCCACTTCCACTCAGGGATCTCCATTGGTTGTAATAACCCAGGTGAACATTGGTGTTCAACTTTTGCCTTCTGGTAAGTCAAGCATCTAGCTACATATTCAGTCGCATCTCTCTTCATTCCATTCCACCAAAAGCTCTTCTAGAGATTCTGATAAATTTTGGTCGCACTAGGGTGAAAACTTATCCTGCTTTTATGTGCTTCCTCAAGTACCATCTGACTTAATTCATCCACTTGGGGAATGCACACTTGGTTCCAAAACTTAATTACCTCGTTCTCATCACAATGGAACTCCAAGTTCCTGCCCTCATTCCTTTGTCTTATCATGTCTTGCAAAAAAAGTATCTCTCTGCTGCACATCTCAGACGTACACCAATAAGTTGTTATGAATCGTCATCGTTCCGAGATACAAACTCCTCAGCCTCACCTCCATAGCTAAGTTCATGTTTCAAAATTCTTCAATCAACTCCATTTCTGTCACCATCATCGCTGCTACATGTAGTGATTTCTGGCTCAAAGTGTCAGCCACCACATTTGCCTTGCCGGGATGGTAAGACAGTGAAATCGTACTCCTTGAGGAATTTCATCCATCTCCTCTACCGCATGTTCAGCTCCCTCTGATCAAATAGATACTTCAAGTTCTTGTGGTCACTGAACACCTCAAACCTTGCTCCATACAAGTAGTGCCTCCATACCTTAAGAGAAAAAATCACCGCACCTAACTCTAAGTCATGAGTTGGATAGTTGAACCGTAACTGCATCGGTTATGAATCGAAATGAAATGCGTTATAATGCTGTCTGTGATTATACTGTGTGAGGTGTATTAGAAATATTGTGAATTATGTGCAAGGTGAGACTCTATGCTTGTTTGTGTGTTGGGTAGTGTAGAGTACTCACTTTTACATTCATTTTTCAGGTAATCAAGACGATCAGCACCGGACTCAGTGAAGGGTTAGATAGAACTACTATAGGGCTTAGAATGTTATTTTGAGATTGTTGTATTTGAAATGGTCCTGTAGCAGTTATTTGATATAAACTTGTAACCCTTTTCCTATTTCAAAATATTTCATGAAACTTTTATTATTCTGAATTTGCAAAAGTATTATTTATTTGAAAATTAAATTTAAGGCGTTACAATTTTGGTATCAGAGCAGTTCATCCAAACCAGACTGGGGTAACGGGCTGAAGCGTCCATGGTAAGTGTTGATTGTTTTCTTTGCCCAAACTATAAATGTGTTATTTATCTGATATGCTGGAATGTGTCTGCTGAATTATTGTAGTAATAAATTGAACATGGTTGGTAAGGGTAGAGGTAGAGGAGCCAGAGGCTCTAATGACCTCAAGGAACGAATGGCTCAAATTCTGGAGGCCATGGTGCACAACCAAGGCGAAGAGCCGACTGAGTACCGAGGATTGTCTGCCTTCAATAGACACGATTCTCCAAAGTTTGAGGGACGATCAACCCTGAGGGAGCTCAAAGGTGGTTGGCGGATGTTGAGAAGGTTTTCAATGCAATGGGGTGCCGTGAAGAGCACAAGGTGAGTTATGCCACCTACTTGCTGTGTGGGGATGGTAAGACAAAGTGAAATCGTAGTCCTTGAGGAATTTCATCCATCTCCTCTACCGCATGTTCAGCTCCCTCTGATCAAATAGATACTTTAAGCTCTTGTGGTCACTGAACACATCAAACCTTGCTTCATACAGGTAGTGCCTCTATACCTTAAGAGCAAAAACCACCACGGGTAACTCTAAGTCATGAGTTAGATAGTTGACTTCATGTGGGCGAAATTGTCTTGAGACAGGCAACCACTCGTCCGTCTTGCATCAAAACATACCCAAGTCTTTGCCTGGATGCATCACAATACACATCAAACTTCCTCTCTAGGTCGAGCAAAACTAACACGGGCACTGACATCAACTTTATTTTTAGCTCTAAGAAACTAGCTTCACACCCCTTGGTCCATTTAAATTCTTTTCCCTTGCGAGTCAGCTTCGTTAAGGGCAAAGCTATCTTAGAAAATCCTTTAATGAACTTTCTATAATAGTCTGCCAATCCTAAAATACTACAAACTTCCGTCACATTTGTCAGCCTCGGCCACCCAGCCACTATTTTCACCTTTGCAAGGTCTACCATAATCCCTTCCTTCGACACTATGTGCCCCAGAAACTAAATCTCTGACAGCCAAAACTTACACTTGGAGAATTTCACATACAGTTGTCTCTCCCTCAGAATTTGTAGAACAATCCTCAAGTGCTCAGCGTGCTCTTCCTGAGTCTTCGAATAAATAAGGATGTCCTCAATGAATACTAGCACAAACTTATCCCAAAACTAATGGAAGATTCTATTCATGTAATCCATGAACACCACAGGTGCATTGGTCACTCCAAACGACATCACCAAGTACTCATAGTGACCATACCGCGTCCTAAACGCTGTCTTAGGTACATCTGCATCCTTCACCCTGATTTAATGGTATCCTAACCTCAGGTCAATCTTAGAAAACACAACAGCTCCTCTCAACTGGTCCATCAAATCGTCAATCCTTGGAAGCGGATATTTGTTCTTAATCGTCACCTTGTTTAACTGTCAGTAGTCCACACACATTCTCATGTTGTTATCCTTCTTCTTCACCAAGAGCACTAGTGCTCCCCACAGTGACACACTCGGTCTTACGAACTGCTTCTGCAACAAGTCTTCCACCTGCTTCTTGACCTCCGCCAACTCCACAGGTGACATCTTATAAGGTGCCACAGAAATCGGGCTTGCTCCCAGAATGAGGTCAACGACAAACTCTATCTCCCTCTCCGGTGGTAACTCATAAACATATTCAGGGAAAACTTCTAAGAAGTCCTTCACCACCATGTATACTCCGACTCTACCACGTTTTCGGCTTCTATTGAGAATATAATCATAAAGGCCGTGGCACTCACTGTGTTTTCCCATGCACCATGACTTAATAGCCTCGGAACTTCCGACATCAATTTACCAAAAATCAGCGTCTTCTCTCTATAATCCAACAACACATGGTCGGCAGCAAGTCAATCCATTCCCAAGATTACGTCCAGTTGGGAAAGAGGCAAACAAATCAAGTCTACCTCAAACTCCTTACCATGCACCATTATTAAACATCCTAAGCACACCCACGACGTCACAACCGGCTTATCCGTATGGGTAGTCACCACAACATTACATGATAGTTCAATCATATACAGATTCAGACTGTTCACACAATCCACATATACAAATAAGTGCATAGCACCCAAGTCAAACAACACATCAAGCAATCGGCCTTTAATAATGCATTTATCTCGGATCAGTTCCTCTAACTGTGTAGCCTCTGCCTCGCTCATAGCAAAGACCCTACCAGGAATGCTTGGCTTTGGCCCCGTACTCAGCCCTGTGCTCCCTCTTGATTCTGGTCTCTGAGTTGTACTTAAACTGTCACTCCTCTTAGCGGCCCAACACACATTGGCAGTATGCCCTGACTTCTCACAATTATTATAAGTAGTCCATGGCTGTAGGCAGTCCTTCACCATGTGTGGTCCTCCACACATGAAGCATTTAAGCGGTCCTCTGAAAGAGCCTGTTCCTGAACTAGACCCAGAACCAGAACCAGTACCACTGCTCCTCTCCTGAAATGAAGTCCCTCTGGAATATGAATGACTAGAACCCGAATACAGCCCTTTGGAGAATCTAAGGGGTCTTCGTTCTTGCCTTACTGCCCTGGCTCCCCTAGTGTCCACTATCTTCCTCCTTGAGTTAGCTTCAAAGATTTTGCTCTTGCTCACCAGAGTGGGCAAGTCTGTCAACTAGAACACACTAACTGCAGCTAGGATGTCTGGCCTCAGCCCGTGCTCAAACTGAGCACACAAGTCCTCCTCACCATCCTCATTTTAGTAGTGAGGTCAGTACTTCATCAATTCTTGGAACCTTGTTGCATATTCCCCTACTGTCATGCTTCCTTACTTTAGCTCAAGAAATTCACTATCCTAGGGAAAATAATTCCCTAGAAAAATTGCTTTGAAGGTCTCCCACTGAATGTTGTTACCCTCTTGTGACAATATCTGACCAGCAAACCTCCACCAGTCTTCTGCCTTCCCACACAACAAGTAGGTAACATTCACGATCAAGGCCTTTTCGCTACATCAGCATTCACACTTAGTCTACACACACATACACATATATATATATATATATATATATATATAGATCATACTTATGTCAATCAACACACCTCATAGGCATAGGGCAACCCACACAAGGAGTGTTACAAGTTTAGCTAAATAGAATAAGAAATCATATCATTTATTAAATAAAAAGATTTCGACAAAATCATGGAATGTAGCTATGGTAACTACAAGCCAAGACGAGAGTTTATTTCCCCGGATACTTTTCCACGTGAAACAGGTAATGATCGTTTATCCAACTCTGTGTCATTATTAACGTGACAACTATGCAAAACCAGAAAACAATCTTTAATATTCTAAAATCAATTAAAAACAATAAAATAACTACCTTAGTGAACTTCAATTGGCCAATGACATTGAATGCACGTAAATTAACCATTGAGTTGATAACGACACAATTCACAGAAGATTAACATTAGCTTGTACAAAATTATATAATAGTTATTACTGTAAAAACCGGACCGAATTGGTGGGTCCAACTGGGTCACCCGAAAATCCATCTCACGATGAATCGGGTCAAGTTTATATAACTGGCGGCTAAAGATTTAAGGCGTTTGGTAATAATATTTGTAAATTTGAAAAAAATATTGTATATTTTTTTAATTTATTTTATATTTTAAAAATTAAAAAATATTTATATATTTTTTAAATTATTAATTTTATTATCTATTAATATAAAATTAACAATAATAATAATTTTTTCACATATAACAAATTATAAAATATCTTTTTAATTTATAATTTAGACTATAAATTACTAAGATTTAACCCCTAAACCAATCTTAAAACGCGAAAACCGGTCAGAACTAGACTGATTTATTCTACAACCGGCTTTAACTAACTACGATAAAAATATATTATATACTATAATTAAAAAAATATTTAATTCAATTATATTTATTAAAATTTAAATTAAAAATTATATCTTAAACTGCTCACTTTATTTGATTTAATTGACTAAATTTTAAAATATATTATATAACTTTTTTAAGATGTAAAATTATTATAATTAAACATTTTTATAGTTTAAAATGAGAAATTAATATAACTTACATAATAAAAATATCTGTGAAGTTATGAATATCACGTGTGTCATTAAAATATTATATTAATTTACATTATAAGAATATATAATATATTATTTTATTATATAAAATAAAATATATTTTTAATTAATATGGCTTTATTGACTATTCGACCATTGTTAAAATAATACACTCTGAATTAATAATTTTATTAATTTAATATGTGGTTTAATTTCTTATTAGCACAGAAAAAAAAATTATATATTATCTAACAACTAACTCATCTAATAAAATGTGCAATATCATATAGAAACTTTTTTATAATCGATTACTAAAATAACTAAATGTTATTTTTTAATAATAAAAAATATCAATTAAATATTACTTAATACGAGGTTAACACTTAAATATTCGAATACACTTATTTTTTACAAAATTGTGAAGCACAAAAACCTAAAAATTAAAATAATAAAAACTAAAAAAAATTAGAAAAATGAGCAAAACATTAGAATTTTGGAATAAAATTTGATTCAAAACCCTTTCAAGAATTAAATAAATATCAAAAAATTATAAAATAGACAAATAATTTGCATATCTACACCATTTATCATGACAATTCTATTCTTGATCACAAGTGCAACATTGTTAGCGGTGTATCTAGACTTTGGCATTGCAAGGTGGGACACCCTCTAGTTGATAGGATTTATCTATTAAAAGAATAATTTTCTTTCATTATTTTAATAAAATGATATTTGTGATATTTGCACTTTACAAAATAAAAAAGCCTTCATTCCATATAATCAATACTTATTCTTCTACAAATTTTGAATTAATACATGCTAATATATAGAGTCTTATATCCATTTTCTCTTTTATGTTCACTGTTATTTTCTCACCGTTATTAATGATCATCCAAGACATACTTAGATATATTACTTGATTAATTTCTATAATATGAACGATATTATTTATCAAACTAGTTGTATTGAAACTCCACAACAAAATTTTGTTGTGGAAAGAAAACACCACCACATTGTGAATGAACTAAAATTGTTTGGATTTGATTTGAGAATAAAATTTAAAGTTCAAACACTATATTTTATCGTGCGAGTTTAGAATTGTCTGGTTAGTCAAATCATTTTACCAACTTCAACAAATTGTGATATTTGTAATAATTATTAATTTTAGTAATAAATAATTTAAATTTTATATTTATGGCATATTTTAATTTATTACTAAAGTAAATTTTTATATAATGATAATATATTAAAGTTAAACTCTTAAAAATTATTATTAAAATTTAGTTGTATATTAATTTGGATTAAAGGTGTAAAAAATATTGAAATTATTAATTTATTTTAATAAAATTCTTCATATTAATACTATATTTAGAAAATTTTGGAAGAGTCTAAAATAAAGTTTGAAAGTAAAAAGTCGTGTGATTTTAACAATCGAGTGATTTTTATTTTTTTTCAAACTAAAATGACTTTTACATTTAACTAAAAAAAAATTTTTTTTGTGAAATAAAAAATTTAAAATAATTCTAAATTTTATCTTTTAAAAATAATTATCAAAATATTAAATAAAGAAAATTTTAAAAATTTGTAATTTTCAAATATATATTCCTTTAATAATTTTAATTTATAAAGTAGTAAGAAGTTCTTTTTAGAGAATATCTAGGAGGATATAGACCTTATTTGTGTGAACTTGTAGATAGATTATTGTAAAAACATATAAAAAGTAAGTAAAACTTTTTTCATAAATTAAAAATAATTTACTTCTTCAAATTTTAGAGGAATAAAAGGAAAGTTGCTTTTAAAAAAATAGAGAAATATAAGTTAATTATTCATTTTTTATAATATTATTTTTCTTTCATAAACACTTATTCACAGGTACACCCAAAGATCATAATAAAATTCAATTGTATCATTAATATTTGTTACATTCTAAAGTTATATTATATATTACATGTAATATTTTTATCACATAACATTTTTTTTTATTTCTCTCTTAGAATATATATCTCTCAAAATATGTGAAAAAATATGTATCTAAAATTGATTTGTCTAAATACAAACAATATATTATGATTGAGATTTTAATATTATAACATCTTGTAACGCCCTAAATTTTATAAATGTATTTAAATACATATATGTATAAATGCATATGGATAAATATGCGAGTATAAAGTATATACATACATACATACATATATATATATATATATATATATATATAATGTCTGACTGTGGTTGGTTTGATTTGATTGGAAAATAGTCTAAGTGTATGTTGCAGGGTGTTCTCGCTGAAGTGAGAAGGCTTTGGGCGAAAAGCATGAAACTGTGCTGCTCTCGCTATAGCGAGAAGGCACTGGGAGAGGAGGACTGAAACTGTCACGTTCTCGCTGTAGCAAGAAAGCGACAACGGAGAGTGAATTTCTGGGTGCAGTCTCGCTGTAGCAAGATTCTGCAGAAACTAGAGTGCAGTTTCCTATGAGATTTTTGTTGTAGCGGCAAGGGGCGTCGACCAAAAGGGTATATGAAGGGGTTAGGGTTTGGAAAATTCATTTTCCATTCCTCTCTTCAAAATCTCTTCGATTCTCTTGACTCAAAACCCTATTTCACCTATTAAATTACCTCCAAAATTGTTCGAGAGCTAGTTTGAAAGATGAAATCATGTTGGGGATGCTTGGAGGTAAGTTTTAATGGTTAGGGTTTCGGTTTCTCATCCTTATTCTCTATTTTCTCGTTTCCCTTGGTTCTTATGGAATTCTTCCATGTATTTAGGACAAAATTCATGTGGGGAGCACTACCTTAGTTGATTTTGTGTGTGGGTCTTCAATCCGAGGTAAGAAGAGACTCTATCCTATCTCATAGTATTTTGATTACTGTTTATTTTGCTAGATATTGCAATGTGGCTGAGATAGAAGGTAGGAAATGTGTGTTTTAATGAAAATTATTGTGTGTTTGAATGCAATGTGATGTGTGATGAGATGGTTGAACCCATTGTGGGTGATTGTGACATGCCATTGATTGGTGATTTAATAATGAGGACTTAATATTTAAGTGTGATGTGGGTGAATATGGGCCTGTGTGCCATGTGTTGTAAATGAATATGGGCATGTCTGCCATGTATGAATATGAATATTGTATGTAGCTAAAATGTGTGTGAAAAGGCATGTTAAATGCAGTTGTAAATATGCTATGAATGGTTCAGGGATACACAGGAGGTGTGAAAGATGGGGACAGTAGAAATACATTGGAGAAGAGAGAGTGGTGGTGACACTAACAATGAGGGTGGGTGCACCACAGGTCACACACTCTCCTCCTGACTAGACCTCTGACCAATATCTTTGTCGAGCAACTCGTGACTACCCACGTGGTATCCGTGAGGTGAGGGTAACCGGCGACCATCCATGGTATGAAACTTTGATCACAGCGCCACAGTGAGCATTGATACGTGCAGTGAACGCACTTGTGTGAAATGTTGTTGGTGTAGTGAATGCACCGGTTGTAAATTGAAATGGAATGTATGATCCCTGTTGTATGTGATTGATAATACTTGAGTAGAATGTGTTAGAATACATATGAGTGTGCAAGGTGAGTCTCTATGTTGTTTGTGTGATGGATAGTGTAAAGTACTCACCCTTACATTTATTTTTTAGGTGACCAAGACGATCAGCACCAGGGTCAGTGAATGGATAGATGAAACTGCTATAGGACTTATATTTTATTTTGAAATTAGGATGTAATTAAATTAGTCCTGTAGCAGTTATTGATATAAACTTGTAATCCCTTATTATTTTGAAAAACTTTTATGAAACTCTGTATTGAGAAATTATATTTAAATGAAATTTTAATTATTCCCATTTTGCAAAATTTATTATTTTGAAATTAAATTAAGGTGTTAAATTTTGGTATCAGAACAGTTCATCCAAACTGAACTGGAGTATCGAGCTAAAGCGTCTAAGTTGAGTGTTGATGTGTTTTGATCGCCTAAAATTTGAATGTTGTTATTAATCTAACAAGTTGAATGTGGTTTGTTACATTGTTTGCTAGCTTGGATTAGAATGGCTGGTAAAGGTATAGGGGTTAAAGGCACCAATGATCTCATGGAGTGTATGGCTCAAATTTTGGAAACCTTAGCTCACAACCAAGGCGGAGAACTGACTGAATACTAAGGGTTGTCTACCTTCACTAGGCACGAGCCTCCAAAGTTTGAAGGAGGATTTAATCCAGAGGGAGCCCAGAGGTGGGTGGCTAGCATGGAGAAGATCTTTCACGCAATAGGATGCCAAGAGGAGCACAAGGTGAACTACGCCACCTACATGCTGTGTGGGGAGGATGAAGACTGGTGGAGGTTTGCCAGTCAGACGTTGCCACAGGAAGGTGGCTACATCCAATGGGAGACCTTTAATGTGATCTTCCTAGGGAATTACTTTCCCCAGGATCTAAAGAAGCAAAAGGCCAGAGAGTTCCTTAAGCTGAAGCAAGGAAGCATGACAGTGGGGGAGTATGCAACAAAGTTCCAAGAGCTGATGAAGTACTGGCCTCACTATCAGCATAAGGACGGAGAGGAGGACTTGTGTGCTCAATTTGAACATAGGCTGAGGCCAGACATCCGAGCTGTAGTCATATGTTTCAACTGACGAACTTGCCCATTCTAGTGAGCAAGAGGGGAATCTTTGAAGCCAATTCAAAGGAGAAGACAATGGACACTAGGGGAGCCGGTCCAGTGAGGTAAGATAGAAGACCCTCTAGATTTTTCAAGGGGCCATATTCAGGCTTGAGTAATTCACAGTCCAGAAGGACTTCATCACAAGAGAAGAGCAGTGGGAGTGACCCAGGATCAAGCTATTTCAGAGGGCCGACCAAATGCTTTAGGTGTGGAGGGTCACACATAGTGAGGGACTGCCCACAGTCACGGACAACTTGTAACAACTGTGGGAAGTCATAGCACACTGTTAATGTGTGCTGGACCACTAAGAGGAGTGGCTGTTCATGTACAGCTCAGAGGTCTGAATCAAAAGGGAGCATGAGGCCAAGTACGGGGCCGAAGCCGAGCATTCTTGGTAGGTATTTGCCATGAGCGGGGCAGAGGCTTCACAGTCTGAAGAACTGATCAAAGGTAAATGCATTATTAAGGGTCGACTGTTAGATGTGTTGTTTGATTCAGGTGCTATGCACTCTTTTGTATCCGTCAATTGTGTGAAGAGTCTGAATTTGTGTGTGACTGAATTGCCATGTAATGTCGTGGTGACTACCCCAACGGGTAAGCCAATTGTAACATCGTGGGTGTGTTTGGGGTGTTCGATGATGGTGCATGGTACGGAGTTTGAGGTGGACTTGATCTGTTTGCCTCTTTCCCAACTAGAGGTAATTTTAGAGATGGATTGGCTAGCTGCCAACCATGTATTACTGAACTGTAAAGAGAAGATTTTGATCTTCGGTGCGACAATAGCAGAGGTTCCAAGGCTTATGAGACAAGGTGCGTGGGAGAACACAGTAAATGTCAAGACCTTTATAGTGATGTTTTCAATAAAGGTTGAAAGCGTGGTGGAACCAGAGTAATCCCGGTGGTGACGGATTTCTTGGAAGTTTTCTCTAAAGATGTTTCTGAGTTACGCGCCTGAGAAGGAAATAGAGTTTGCTATTGACCTCATTTCGGTGACAAGCTCGATTTTTGTGGCATCTTATAGGATGTTACCAGTGGAATTGGCAGAGGTCAAGAAACAAGTAGAGGACTTGTTACAGAAATGGTTTGTAAGACCAAGGGTGTCACCGTAGGGAGTACCAGTGCTCTTAGTGAAGAAAAAGGATGGGAGCATGAGGATGTGTGTGGATTACCGACGGCTAAACAAGGTAACAATAAAAAAACAAGTACCCACTTCCGAGGATTGGCAATTTGATGGACCAGTTAAGAGGAGTTGCATTGTTTTCTAAGATTGACCTGTGGTTGGGGTACCATCAAATCAGGGTGAAGGATGAGGATGTACCTAAAACAACATTCAGGACGCGGTATGGTCACTATAAGTACTTGGTGATGTCGTTTGGAGTGACCAATGCGCCTGCGCTGTTCATGGAATAAATGAACATGATCTTTCAATGAGTTTTTGGATAAGTTTGTGGTGATGTTCATTGATAACATCCTGATTTATTCGAAGACTCATGAAAAGCACACCGAGCATTTGAGGATTGTTTTGCAAATTCTGAGAGAAAGGTAGTTGTATGCAAAATTCTCTAAGTGTGAGCTCTAGCTGTCAGAGGTCCAGTTTCTGGGCATATAGTGTCAAAGGAACAAATCATGGTGGATTTGGCAAAAGTGGAAGCAATAGTTGATTGGCCAAGGCCAAAGAATGTGACTGAGGTACACAGTTTTCTGGGACTAGCGGGCTATTATAGAAAATTCATTGAGAGATTTTCTAAGATAGTTTCACCCTTAACAAAGCTGACTCGCAAGGGAAGGGAGTTTAAATGGATCAGAGAGTGTGAAACTAGTTTCCTAGAACTGAAAATAAAGTTGACTTCAGCGCCTGTGTTGGTTTTGGCCGACTCGGAGCAAAAGTTTGATGTGTATTGTGATGCATCAGGGCATAAACTTAGGTGTGTTTTGATGCAAGATGGGTGAGTGGTTGCTTATGTCTCAAGACAGTTACGCTTGCATGAAGTCAACTATCTGACGTATGACTTGGAGCTAGCCGCAGTAGTTTTTGCTCTTAAGGTATAGAGGCACTACCTATATGGAGCAAGGTTTGAGGTGTTCAGTGACCACAAGAGTTTGAAGTATCTATTTAATTAGAAGGAGCTGAACATGCAACATAGGAGATGGATGGAATTCCTCAAGGATTATGATTTCACATTGTCTTACCACCCTAGCAAGGCAAACGTGGTGGCTGATGCTTTGAGTAGAAAGTCATTGCACGTGGTAGCAATGATGGTGAAAGAGATGAAACTGATTAAGGAATTTTGGGACATGAACTTGGCCATAGAGGTGAGGTCGGGGAGTTCATATCTCGGAGCAACAACAATTCATAATGACTTCTTGGTGTACGTCCGAGATGCTCAGCAAGGAAATGCCTTCCTGAAAGACATGATGAGGCAGAAGAGTGAAAAGAAAGACTTAGAGTTCCACAGTGATGAGAAATGAGTGATCAAGTTTCAAAACCGAGTATGCATTTCCCAAGTGGATGAGTTGAGGGAGATGATGCTTGAGGAAGCACATAAGAGCAAAATGAGCTTTCACCCCGGTGCAACTAAAATGTATCAGAATTTTCGAAAGAGCTTTTGGTGGAATGGGATGAAAAGGGATGTGGCTGAATATGTGGCTAGATGCCTAACCTGCCAGGAGGCAAATGTAAAGCACCAGCGTCCAGCCAGGTTGCTGCAACCGTTGGAGATCTCTGAGTGGAAATGGGACAGTATTTTCATGGACTTTATTTTTGGGCTGCCAAGGACCAGGAACAACCATGATGCCATTTGGGTGATAGTAGATAGGTTGACTAAGGCTGCACACTTTCTCCTGATTAACATGAAGTATAAGTTAGAGAGATTTGCAAACTTGTATGTAAGGGAGATAGTCAAGCTGCATGGAGTGCTGACCAGTGTGGTGTCCAATAGAGACCCGAGGTTTACCTCGAGGTTTTAGAAGAGCCTGCAAAGGGCATTAGGAACTAAGTTAAGGCTTAGTTTGGCTTATCACCCACAAACTGACGATCAGACGGAAAGGACTATCCAATCCCTAGAGGATCTTTTAAGGGCCTGCGTGATTGAGCAGCAAGGGACTTAGGAAGAATGCCTGCCATTAGTGGAGTTCACTTATAATAACAGTTATCATGCTAGCATTGGGATGACACCATTTGAGGCCTTGTATGGGTGGAGGTGTAGGACTCATTTGTGCTGGTATGAGAATGGAGAGGCTACTCTGTGTCCACCAGATATGATCCAGAAGCAGAATGAGCAAATTAAGATAATCAAGGAGAAGATGAAGGCTGCACAGGAAAGGCAGAAAAGCTACTATGATAAGAGGAGGAAGCCGTTGGAGTTCCAGGTAGGTGACCATGTGTTTTTAAAGGTTTCACCTATGATCGAAGTTGGGAGAGCTCTGAAATCTCGAAAGTTATCTCCTAAGTTCATTAGGTTGTTCGAAGTGCTAAGTAGAATTGGTCTTGCAGCATACTGGATAGCTTTGCTCCTGAATCTCTCAAATCTACATTCGATGTTCCATGTGTCCCAACTTAGGTAGTATGTGTCGGACCCTTGGTTCTTGAACTTCATTCTCATTTCTCCATTTTATCCGATATAAGGCTTGTATTTTGTAATACTCAAGAAAACATTAACTCCTAAGACGATATTCTCTACCAGGACGTTGTGCCTCTCCCTGGGATCTTTAAGAAAGTTTGATCTAAAAGACCCATTTCCAGATAAGGAGAGTTGATCTCGAACCTTAAGTCTTATTTATAGAGTTTAACATAGAAAACTCAACTACTTGATTCTAAGTAACAAAATTGTAAGATTTTTCTGTAAAATTATGGTGCAAAAAATGGATTTCCTGTGAGAAAATGCCTTTTGAACCCTAACTTCAGTATTTCATTTTGGGTAATAGAATCTCCAATGATTCTCTAAATTGTATTACTAAAAATGAAATTTTGAGTATGAGGAACCAATAGTTTAATCCAAAGATCATTTAGATAAAATTTTATAGTAAAAAGATGAGTAACTAAGCATCTGATGAAGTTTTAAGATTTTACTATTATTTATGTATGAACAAGTAATATTGAACTTTAGGATAGACAATCTTATTAATGTTGAGAAAGTATGTATGTTGTATTGAATTTTGTGGTATGAAATTGTTTGAGAATATTTTGTGTTAGATGAATATTTGTTGATGGCTTAGGTATGTTGAAATTGGTGAAATTGGATTATTGATGAAAAGTGTTGTATTGTTCTCAAAAGAAGAAAGAGTTTTATGTATAAAAGTAAATGATATGGCATAATAAAGGAATTATGAGAGATGTGATTGTAATACATGAGTCAAATAGATTGATGGATATTATTAGGATACAGGTGCTGTGGTACATCAAAAGGTGTACTCATAATACATGTATTTTTATACATTAAGTTATGTAATCAAGACTCACGTATTATGACACGTTGATCTAAGGGAAGAACATAGAGAAGAATGAGAATGAAATGAGAAATGCTGAGAAAGAGAAATGAAATAAGTATAGATAGCCACAGAGATATACTGAGACTGTGGAAGATAGGGGCGATTGAGAAATTTGGGAAAAATGAGGGTGGTGGATATCTTTTCATAATTGCACAAAAAAATTTAATGAAAATAGAGAGAAAAAATATCACAGACTTCACACTCATTTTCTAACTTAAACCCTGATTACAACTTTGCTAAAAGGGGTCGGGTCAGCATACATGTGTATCTATGTTACTGCGGTTAACCAACAGCTATCTATGCTATGAAGTCCTCAAAGGATCCTTAGGCCAATGAATATGAATGTATAATGAATGTGAAATTACGATGAACATGAAGTAGTATAGAGATTGTATGGTTATAATATATGCATTGTAACATATCAATTAATGTTGTTACGATATATGTGTTGTAATACATCGACGGGTGCGATTAGGATACATGTATTGTGACATGTTGATTGATGTGATAGAATACATGTATTATAACATACAGACTAGTGTAGAAAATGTATGTCATAAATAATTACAAAAATGATTGATTTGTTGGATGTGTGCTCTACTCTGATGATGATTTGTGTGTTTTGAGTGTTATGGTTAATTGATGTATGTTAGAAATGTGTTAGCCAATATTTTCTATACTATATAAATTTTATGTCAAATAAAGAGATTTAGTGGAGCGGGAGATACTCACCCTTACTAATATTTTTCAGGTAATGAAAGTGAAGAGATAAAAATGGTTAGAATCATAATCTAGTGATATTGGAAGAAAAACTTCTTTGTAGGAACTAGAATAATTTGAAAAATTATAATATTTTATCCTAATTACATTTCATGTTGATCAAGTTATGTAAATATTTCCTTAATGTCAAATTTTAGAATTTTTATGTTTTGGTGAATTTTGGTTGTAATAAATAATTTGAAGATGTTCTTAATGATGTTCTAAACTTATATGTATACAATGTGAACCAAATAACTTGTTAGATGTAAATTTAACTTTATTTATTACTTTAAAGTCTTGAATTTATTCCTTTGAAAGCTTCATAAGTGGAATGTAAGTTTTGTTTTTATTTAATTCTTAAATCTATAAAATAGAACAAAAAAAATTTCTTCTATTTTCGCTTTTGCTTATAAAATTTATTTATTTTTAAATAAGAAATTAAGGATGTTACATTTCTCAATGTGAAGTCCCTTAAATACCTCTTCAAACTCGCGCGTTCTCGCTTGAGTGAGTGATAAGTCTGTAATTAGGCCCCATTTTACAGTCTATATATTCTTATTTGACCTTTATTTTATTTGGTGTTTATATTAATTTATATATTAATTATGCAGTTTGGTATAAACAGGCCATAAGTATACTTTGGATGCGTTTTTGGGCCCAAATTGATAGAAGATTAAAGCTTCGCAGCAGTCAGTACGCCCAGACCCTTCCAACAAGCACAGAGGTGCTTCGAGCCCATGCACGATCGTGCTCAAGGCCTTGCACGACCGTGCTCATCTGCGGGAAGCCCAATTATGAACAGTTTTTAGGGTTTTCAAACCCTATTAAAAGGGAGATCTCAGGCATCGTAAAGGGGGGGACCATTTTTTATACCTAGTTTCTTTAACACTTCTCGTCTCCTTTCTCGTGCACAGGATCCTTGGCACATGTTTGGCGAGACTTGAAGCTTCGAGCGATCATACTTGAAAACTGGGAACTCATCTCATTCTAGTTTGCTTTTCTTTATGACTTTGTTTATGATTGTTTTAGTTCTTTTCTTTAACATTAGTAACTAAGTCCATAGCTAGGGTTATGGGAACTATTGTTCATGAATTTATGAGATTTTGATGTTTAAATCTAAATTTGAATTCCGTTCTGTTATTAGATTTTATCCTATTGCGCTTCTTTCTTAATCCTAATTAATTATACCGTTAGGCCACCATACCTCGGTTAATTAATAGATCTTTGGGGTAAAACGAGACAAAGGATTAGGTGGACCAAACCAATATTTCTTTTCTAATTATTATTAAATTAATAAGTTCATAGGTTCTTTAAGCTTTCTTAAATTGATGTCTTGCATGATCATTGGGGATGTTAATTTAGATAAAAGAATATTAATATTGCATGACCATTGGGTATTAATAGTATTCATATGAATGATTGGTAATCACAAAGAAATCAGATTTAGAGTTAAACAGAAAAATAACATAAAGGATTGAATGAAAAAACTCATATGCCCTAGGTTCCTCTCTGATAAGTTTAACCAAGACGTGCATTGTATTCCTTGCTCGTAGTTTATAATTAATTTTATAAATTTTTGTTTTAATTAATCTCATATCTTTGAAACTTAAACACTTGAAATAGGAAATTCTTAGTAATTAAAAAATAATCCTTGTGAGACGATATTTTAGAAACTTAATTTAAGAACCCTTTATTACTTCTCAATGGGTACACTTGCCCTCCAAACAGTGAGCGAACTCTCGCTTGAGTGAGATCCATTCTCGCATAGGCGAGAATACCAAACAGAAAATATCTTCTCCATTTTTTATAATCTCACCTGGGTGAGGCTCCTCTCACCTGAGCAAGACCTGTGAGTCTATAGAGCTTTCAAATTTTTTGGCAAGTCTACCTAAGCGAGCTCTATCTCGCCTATGTGAAAGGACAGTTGGGACGATATTATCCTTTCTCGCTTGAGTGAGAATGCCCTAGAATGCCTAATTCAATAAAACCTTGTTTTGGTTGAGCGAGACATATCTCACTTAAGCGAGAATCCCTACACCAAAATTTCTATTTTCTAAAAACATAAGCAATAAAAATTAAGGGTGTTACATTATAAACTTCTAATCCCAAAATGAATTTGACTTTACTAATGTCTTTAATTCAAAATTATGAGTGAAGATTTTCTATAACAAATATTTTGAAATGTCATTTCCAGTAAGAAGGACTTCATCAACATAAATCAATATTGTAACTAAAGAAGATGAGGTGATTTTAGTGTATAATATAAGATCAACATGACTTTGTCAATATCTTATATCAGTTAAGAGAGTAAAGAGGGTGGAAAATCACTGTCGTTTAGGCCATATGTAAATTTCTTCAAGAGACAAGCCTAATTAATTTTGATAGAAGTAACTTATTATGAAAAAGTCATGTATATTTCTTCATTCAATTTGGCATGTAGAAAGACATTATCCATATCCAATTGATGAAGATGTCATCCCTTGTAGCTGTTATAGAAAAAGAAAACATCATCCTAAGTGTCATCATTTTTTGCTATAAGTGAGATAGTATTGAGGTAATTGATTCTTTCTATAGCAAGTTTCTAGTAATTGTGTTTGATAGTTTGTGAATTAATTTTAGGTTCAAACATACAAGTGATAGTTAAAGTAAATGATTAGTAAAAGAGATAAAACTTGTCATATGAAATAACAAAAGATAAGAGATAGAGAATACCATTTTGTTTCTAATCATTATAGGAATTAGAAGTAAAAGATAAATTATGATAATAATCTTCTAAGTAACTAGGTAGCTTCCTAGGTCTAGTGGATTGTCTAGTTAGATTGTTATGGTTAAAACGATAGTGTGAGTGTCTTTGTTCTTCTACAACAATGAGTTTAACAGTGTGTTGAGCATAGACACAATGTTAGGGATTGATAAAAGAAATATAATTTGTGAAATAGAAAAATTAAAAAATAAGTAAAAATATTTCATGAGTAGTAAAATCTTCAAAAAAATTATTTAGTAGTGTGAAAAGGAAAAATAATTTCATAAAATAAATATCTTTGTATAAAGAAAAACAATTGCTCTAGTTTTTATGTCAAATAATATGTAACATTTAACACCATGTTTGTAATAATTAAAAAAAGTGTATTTTTGAACTTGAGCATCAAGCTTAGTCTTGTAACTTGAAACTAGAAGCAAAACATAAAGCATCAAACACTTCTAAGAAAAATAGATAAGATAATTTTTCATAGAAGTCTGCACTCTTATTACTCATTATTGGTGCAAGAATTATGTTAAGAATACTGTGTGAGCAACAACATAAGATCAAAATATTTTAAGTAAATTAGTATGAAAAATTAAAGCAAGCAATTAAGCATTATACAATATAAGTCTACCAAAATAGACAAAAGTTTAAAACATTTGAATTATTAGTTGTACTTTATGATCAAATATTGATAAATTAATAAAGTTTAAGGACACTTACAATCAAAATTAATAAAGTTTAAGGTGAGTGCGAATGTCACAGAAGAAAAGAAAAATAATTTGAATCAAAATTGATTTTGAATTAACTAATAGTTTGATAATATATAGAAATTAAATATTTACAAGGTCAAAATTCAAATTGATACCTCAAAATGTATTCTTCTGATAACACCTTTTGTTCTAGAATCAGGTGACTTTCTTCTTCATCTCATCTTTGAGTCTCCAACGCGGTCTTCTCGTCTGTCGATTTATTATTTAAGCCCCCAAAGTTGACAACCTTGTCCGCTCTCTCTCTCTCTCTCTCCTATTTTCTATTGATCCTCAACAACAACAACTCAACCACCCTTCTGATCTTTTCCCAATTGAAACTTGTATTCTCTCTGCAAGGGCGTGTGTTGATGGGGCAGCAATCGTTGATCTACAGCTTCGTGGCGAGTGGGACGGTGATCCTAGCGGAGCACACCGACTTCAACGGCAACTTCATGAGCATAGCTTTGCAGTGCCTCCAAAAGCTCCCTGCCTCCAACAACAAGTTCACTTACAACTGTGATGGCCACACCTTCAACTACCTTGTCGACAATGGATTCAGTATTCACCCTTTTCTTCACCCCTTTTTATTGCTTTCCTTCTATTCTTTATTTTCTTTTTATTGTTTCTGTTTCTTTCTTGTGGTATGTTTTTATTTTTCAACTGTCTGTTGATCGTGGAAAGTGTCTTCTAATTCTAAGGTTGAATCTCTGTGCTGGGAAAACGCTGAAGTCACGGATAAGCTTGAAACTGTGTTTTAGTTTAGTGGATCTGATGTATGTTTGACATGTTCAGAATATTAATGGTGAAATAATGAATAAAAATGAAAAATGATGGTTGGAGCTTGAATTGGTTGACTTTATCGTCAGTTGTGGGTTCATATGGCTTGAATTGTTATTATTAGTATTGAATCAGGTGGCTATATTTGATGTGAAATCTAGACAGCCCAATTTATTAATTTTTATTTTTTGAGAAGGAGCTGGACCCGGGGGGGGGGGGGTTGACTTGCTTTATGTATTTGTAAAATTACATATTCTTTTAATTGTATATGGATATATGATCTGTTGGGTTCTTATGGTTTTATGTTTTCTTAATCGAATCAAGTGTCATGACCAACTTAGTTATGGAAATCTTCTTGCTTACATAGTTCCAATTTTTTCTTTTTTTTCCCCCTTATTTTTCAGAAAAAGGGTGAAGGGGTTGGTTAACATCATTTATATAGCTTTATATTACTTTCATTAAATTGTTTTATTCTTTAATGGGAATGAATGAATGATCTGTTTGTGTGTAGTAACTAATGAGTTGTTTGCTTTAGTGCCAAAATCTTGTTTTAGTGGGAGTTCTTAACTACAAATTCATAACACTGAATTTGAAAATTTGAGACTTATCGTTTCATGATGTGATTAACATAAAGAATGGAATTGCCGACCTTGTTGAGAAACTCTTGAAGTGGTTTGGTTGTTATATATGTGTGTAATTGTTTAAATTAAACAAGTTATTCCCTAATATTTATGAGCATTTATGATACATGGGCTGCCATAAGCTGCTATTCAATGCAGTTTGATAAATACATGTGTTGAGACTGGATTTCATTATGCTAATTTTAATTATAGAGAATTATCAAAATGTTTTATGGAACTTCAGATTTGGTATTATTACTAATAGGTAAACATAACCAATTCTTTTTTATATGATATTATATTACTGGTCATAAGATTTGCCTTTAGTGACAATTCGAACTATGCACTGCAAAAAGGTTCTGTGATCATACATTTATTTGAGAGAGGACAGAAATTACATATAACTTTCCATTTTGGTTTGTGATGATTTGTTTGTTGAAGAAGTGTCTAGGTTATCAATGAATTGGAGCAAACTACTCCTTTTTATTAAGTAAGATTGTGAAGTCACAAACGAAATTTAGCTTTATGCACCATGTCTGCTTCACATATTTACCCATGAAATCAGTTTGTTTAATACATGATTTATAACATTCTCTACCGAACTAATGAGCAATTTTCTCTCTTCTTCATTGGGACTACTTGTTTCTTGGAGTTTTAAGTTCAACATTGATGCATAACGATGTTCATATGACCATTTGATGAAGTTTTAGTTGTAATTTTCTGAATATTAAATGAAGTCTTATTTGTTTCAAGTTTGAACAAAAGAATGTAGTGGTCCTTACTTGCTGAAATTACATAAAATCACCCTATCTTGAAATTTATGATTTGAATTTATGCATAGTACTTTACAGTTCCTGTTCAACTTAGCTAATTAGTTAGACTTACATGAACTATACTTTGCAGCATACTGTGTAGTGGCAGTGGAGTCTGTTGGTCGGCAGATTCCAATGGCCTTTCTTGAACGTATCAAGGAAGATTTTACTAAAAGATATGGTGGAGGAAGAGCTACAACAGCAACTGCTAAAAGTCTTAACAGAGATTTTGGGTACACGTTTACCTTGCTGAATAAAATAAATGTTTCTTTTTGCTATTAATTGTGTTAGTATAAATTTTTCATTTTATATATGGTTTAGACCAAAGCTAAAGGAGCATATGCAATATTGTGCGGATCATCCAGAGGAGGTTAGCAAACTTGCGAAAGTGAAAGCTCAGGTTTCTGAAGTCAAAGACGTTATGATGGAAAATATTGAGAAGGTATAGTAGTACCACTGTATTTATGGAAAATGTTACTCACTTTTCTTCAGTCATCTCACAATGTCAATTATCTAATATAAAAGTAACAATTGGAGTTCATGCATTGATTGAAAAAGAAATTACCAGATAATGGACACCTGTTTTAAATAATTGTGTGTGAGGAAAATGAGACTAAAAATTTGTAAGAGGCAACGCTATTTTCCATGAAGTAGTGATCTTTGTTATTTGGAGGTTGTAAGAATTATCTCTCCTGTATTTTCTTTTTAACAACTGAGACATCCTGTGTTTCATTTTTGGGGAGAATTCAAGGGTATCAAAGGAAAATTTAATTGCACGCACATCGTTCCCAAAAATTAGATTGTGAGGGAAATGTGGCCTATCATTGTATTATATCTTGTGTGCAGGTTCTTGATCGTGGAGAGAAGATTGAGGTTTTGGTGGATAAAACTGAGAATCTTCGCTATCAGGTTAGACGCTTTTATTGTTTTCATACATAAGTGAAACAAACACTGTTATGAGAAATTAAACTAGGAGATGCTTATGCAGCAGATTTTACACTTAAATGTTTGGTAGATTAATGTCGTGCTATATGACAGTCACATAAGTAGTGTTAGAGAGAGTATAGACGAATATCTACCAACAACTGTCACACAGACTTTACGTTCAATAGTTTTATTGGTAAGATTATATTGTTGTCATATGCAAACCTAGTCCAAATATTTGAGTTTTCAAAAAATCATTAAACTATTCTAAGAAGACTTAGTGTTTATTTCTATTTTATGAATTTATGTATAATAGCCCTGTCTGTATATAGGAATTTCAGTATTCTACTCATTGAGTTTAAGTTGTAGCTGATATCTCGTTATCATGAGTGAAGTCTTTTTCAGTTCTTTTTATTTAACCTTACTTGAGCATTGGATTGATTTCTCATCAGTTACTATTATCATGGTTTATTCTTTCACTTGATCAGATATTCGATCTTGAAATTCATGTAAGGGCTGTAATTAAAATATCAATTGATATACAACTTTGCAGGCACAAGATTTCAGGCAGCAGGGAACCCAGTTGAGGAGAAAGATGTGGTATCAGAATATGAAGATCAAACTAATAGTTCTCGGTATCATAATTGCCTTAATTCTCATTATTGTTCTCTCTGTGTGCCACGGCTTCAATTGTGGTGGATAAGTCTTCTCGCTTCTCAAGAATTGTCACTACGTGGGATTTTTTGAAATTTAATACGTTTACATAAAAACATTATAGATTTGTTTATTGTCCAATGTCCAATGCTTTCATGTAAAAAATATGGAAAAACAGAATTGCGTGAGAGGAAGGGAAATCAATACTGTGAAGGTAAGGTGCATACCGGTTGGATACTTTGGCCTTTTTTCATTTCTGTAGCCTCTCCATGAACTCTGGATTGTTTCATTTATAGAATTGTATAAAATATGATAGTCCTTATCCTTTGTTATAATAAGTATGTGCAGCATAGTACAGTGCTTTAATATGCCGTTTTTTCTGCCAGTGGCATTTTCGTAATTTTTTATATATGGTCATTTTGAATGGATGTTGGTTGTACCTTATTTAGCGGGCTCAATTTGATTCGTTTCACTTTTGTTGCACCTTCTTTCTCTCAAATATTAATTTTTTTTATTTTTTTCTTTTGTTTTGTATCTACGGTTTGGTTATGATTTGGTACCCTAGTTTCTAAGAACTGTTTATAGAAACATCATTAAAAAACGTCTAACTACTCGGATAAAATGAATGTTCATTTGATCTTTTGAAAAAATATGCCTAGTATTTCAGTGAGGATCAGTCCTTGATTCAAATGGTATATTGGGAATCTCAATACCGAAAGAGTTAAGATTTCAAAGTTAACTTTATGGGGTACGAACTAAGAAATTTATGTGTTGATTAGAAGTATTTACAGGTCAGAATGAAATAAGCCTTAATAAACTAATCTTAAACCAACTTAAATTTATTTCAATTTGAACTTAGTTTGTTATATAACATACTAGTCGTAACATTATGTTTTAAAAACTAAATAAAGCTCTTACAACAAACATTTCAGAATAAATAATATGATTATAAATATAAAATTAGAGTAAACTCTATTTAATTCTTAAAATTATTAGTACTAGATATTTTAGATTTTGAGATTTTAAAATGTCTTTGATGGTGCTTTAAGATTGTTTTTCGTTCATTAATTAAGTCTTTCATCGTTGTTAGCAAATAGTAACAAAATATTAAGATTTCATATTAAGTAACATCTATCATTGATTGTGTGTAACAAAAATGACTTTATTATATATATTGTGGTATATGCTTTTTCTTCATTTTTGTTTTTTAGATTCTTAAAATTTTTTATCTACCTGTTATTATTCTTTATTCTTCTTTAACACTCCATTATCATAAATCACCATAGCTCAAAATCACCGTTGTCAATGTGTGAGGATTTAGAGGTTAGTTTCTTTAGGACTTCACTACATTGTCTTTGATGTCACTAATGATTGTTTCAAGGAGTTCTTGATGCTACGAGAGACTTTATGCAGAGTGAATTTGTAACGAGTATGTTGGGAGACTAAAGTTCTTTCATGGACTCCAAATTAAGAAACACAATTTAAGCATTATCATAAATTAATAGAAGTGCACCAAGAGTTGCTAAAAAAATTTAGAACTTAGAATATTTTAATATTGTAAATTAAGTCATAATGTATTTTGAATCAATATTTGCATATATCAACTTCAGTATTTAAATAATAATACATACACATATTTTGCTATTGTTTTGATGTAAATGTGTTTAGTAAGTCATGGTTTATCTTTTATCATTTTACATACTTTTGTATTTTTGTGAATTAAATAATGACAAAAAAGTTTTAAATTTTTTCAAATTTTCATATTATGAATATAAAGAAATTCACTTTATTTTTTGTTTTCTTATAACTTCTTTCATAAATTTCATAAAGAAATTATGGACATTACAAGAAAAATTCATGACAGAGGCCACATTGATGTGCTGAATCCTAACCAAAGGCAACACAAGACTTATAATATACAAAAGAAAATTTTGAAAATCTAAAGCTATGTTTAAGAGTTGTATTTAATAGGGAAAGGAAGGAGAAGGGAGAAGTTAACCTTTGTTTTGAGAGTTACTTCATTAGAAGAGAAAAGATTTAAAGATTTTTTGAAATTCTTCAGCTAATTTTTTGAGTTCTCCATTTTAAAAAAATTTCTCTCTCTTACTCTCTTGTACTTTTTCACAATTAAAATTATAATTTCTTTTTTTTTTCAAATTTTAAGTGAGAAATTTTTTTAAAAATTTATAAAAAGTAAAAATATTAATTTTAAAATTATTAATTTTTAGTGAAAAAAAAATATTTATCTTTTATTTAAATAAAATAAAAATATATAAATAAAAAATATAAAATATAATAATATCATTTATATGATTAAATCATCTATCACCCATCCCTCTAAATATTAAAAATTCAAATTTTGACTAAACTTTTCAAATTTTTTCTTTCTCTTTTTTACTGAACTTTCAAACAATGTCTTACTTTATCTACACAAAAGCCAGAGCAATTAAAGGAAGAATCTTGACCAAGTCAAAGATCTTCCAATCCGTAACGAAAGTAAGGAACTGTGGGATGCTAGCCAACAAAAATTCAATTAATTCGGTAAGGTTTATACTTTGTTTTCACCCCAATATCTTGTCACATGAGCACACAAAGATTCACTCAAATCCCCAAAAAATTATTTATCATCTTGCTTGTGGTTTAATCCATGAAATTATTAAATTTATGTGAATAATGGAACTTAACAAAGAAGATGATTGTACATATAAGTTAAAAGGAAAAACACTTAAAAGGATTTAAGCAAAAGAGCCACAAAGTTTTAAAGTTTGCTTCTGTCAATTAATCCGTGAACCATAAATTTAAAGTTTTGTTGAAAAACATGTCACGGGGAGAGTTTATTTTCGTTTAATTATAAATATTACCTATTTTATAAATTCGTGATTAACCTTGCTAACCACTAACTTCTAAATTTTTGCTACTAACATTACTTTCTTACCTCTAACTTTTACATTGGTGCCATTTATAATTACTGTTTTATTTTAAATTCAGCAAACTAACTTTTATTATTGCCATTAACATTTTCAAATATAATATTTAACTTATATCTTGATTTAAATTATTCCTTACCTTTAATTTCCTCAACTAACCGCTTTAAATTTATGTAACCATTTTATGTTGTCATTGACTTTAATTTTTGTAGTTATATTTAAACTTTTGGTGCATTCTTTTGAATTGGACTAAGAGGATTAAGGCAAGGAACCTAGGATTGTAAACTCAAATTTAAAGAAATGAATTGATAACTTTGATACTAAGACGAATTTCTTGAAAAAATGGAACTATTTTGTAAGCAGTGCGAGTGCGATGTTTTTGCAGTTTTTTGTCAAGGAATTACTTAGTCACGAAATTTATGTTAATTTATAAACATAAAAATGAAGAAAAATGTATAACATGGCCTGTATTGGGCTTAGTAAACTAAACTTTTGGTCAAAACATTTTCTCAATTTAGTTAAGTTTTGATCAAATTTTATGATTTTACAGAAGGCGGTGACTAGAGGAATTAAGAGGAATTGAATGTGTTTGACAAAGATTTTTAACTAAATGAAACAACTAAAATATTTTGGAAAAACAAGATAAAGTTTCAGTCAAAATTTCATGAAATTATCACTTTAGGCTTAAAATTAATTGGAACAAAGGAGTTTTGAAGTCCACCTCCAAGTTTGAACCATGTGAGACTTGATCACCATAATTGGATAAGGAATTTGGAATTTTGAGTATACATCCTTTAAAAAAGATAAGGAAAACAAGACTTAAGTCAACTCATTATTATTGATTTTGACCTTTGTTCATTAAATAATAAATTATGTAACTGAATGAGTAACTTACTGTTTTGGCACGCCTAAATTAGTAAAAAGGATTTCTTTGCAATTTTCTAAAGTATAGAGATTAAACTGTAAATTATTAAAATAAGAGGGATTGAATTATAAAAGTTACAAAAAAAAATTATAATCAATTAATTTATCATTTATATGGATGAAATAAATTATTTCCATGAGTTTTGGACAAAGAAAAGGAAAATAAAATAAAATAAATGTTTAACTCAAATTGTAATTTTTTTTCCCTTAATCCGATGCAAAAATGTATTTCTATGCACGTAAGCATAATAGGGTAAAAATGAAAACAATATCCTGGATATTTTAGATCAAGTACATGTAAGAATGATTACAAAAATGGATATGCATTTTTTATAGACAAATTAAAGAAATAGCACTATTTTAAAGTATAATAAATGAAATTTTCCGCAGCAAGGCTGTAGAATTTATTGAGGAACCGTATGCAAGTAATTCCTGAGGGAAAATCAAGATATCAAATCACAATGAAAGTAATATAAACACTCCAGTTTTACTAATTTTGACAAAATCACAAAATGCTATTAAACAGACTTGGAGTTTTAGAGGTTAAAATTGTAGGATAATTTTGAATGTTCTTTCTAAAGCGGGATCTCAAATATACATGACATTGAGAAACAAGAACTGATAAATTTTCCTATGGTCAAAAAATTCTTTGAAATGTTTCCGAACGATGTATTTGAATTACCTCTTGAGAGAGAAACAGGTTTAGTTTACCATCGAGTTGGTGCCAGGAAAAGGATCCATTTCCATCCCACCATATCGGATGTCTCCAGCTCAGCTATAGCAAAGTTGAAAAATCAATTAAAGGAGATTATGGATAAACAATTTATCATACCTAGTGTGTCATCCTATGCGGCACCAATATTGTTGTTAGTAAAGACGTATGATCCCAGCTCAAGATCGTGCATAGATTACTGACAACTCAACATGGTTAACCATAAGAAAAATGAATACTTGTTATTATCTTAATTTTTCATATCTTTATTTAACCATCACTTTTATCATTATTAATTTGTCCACAATTCGATATATCGTCATGCCCTCCATTATTCAGAATCCTATGCAGGCAATCCGCACAATTAATTTGAAATGCAACATGTTGCGAGCTATTAATCTATTAGCCTTTTCAATTCACTACGAGAAGCTGCACTGTCTCCACATTTTACAGACCCAAATGATCTTTAACCACTGCAAGGCCATCCAAAGTGTATACTTCAATATTCTTCTCAACATAGTCCTTCGAGTAACAGTGTTTTTGAATCAGGTTTATCAAAGTTTGCCACCATTTTTGCCATGCTACAATCTACTGACAAGGAACAAGGGACAATGACATGGATGATGATCACAAAGTGCATAGGATGATGACAGTCATGAAGACCCCACACCGTTATAAAGAAGAGATGTGCAAGCAAAACGAATATAAAGAAGAATTTAACCACCCTGCTGCAAAAGGAGACCCCTAAATATGTCTAATCCTCACGTTACGTAAGCCTTATGCTGCCAAAACTTTTTCTTTTCATTTTGTTAACAGTGTTAGTAACAGGCTCAAATCCCCAATTGGAAAAGTGTATCTAAGGAGGCCCAAACGAATA